CACACACACACACACACACACACACACACACACACACACACACCAGTTGCTTCAGAGCGGTGGTGACCATGCAGAAAGTCACACACACACACACACACACACACACACACGCCAGTTGCTGCAGACTGGTTCCAACGCCAAGAGACTCGCCCCGCCTGTGTGTCAGGGGAGGACTGGGCTCTGTGAGGCTGTTCAATGGCTGCACTGTCTCAGAAGGAGACCTCCAGGTGCCTTTGGGTAGATTCGAACTATCTACCTTTCAGGTAGCAGCTCAGCTCTTCACCATTTGCACCACTCAGGGGCTCGAAGGGCCATTTGGGACACCGAAGATCAGGGAGGAAGACTCGAACAGGTGGACAAAGGGGTTGTGAGCGTCAATTGAGAAAGTGGAACTGGAGAGACCTGTAAGCTGCCTGTTAAGAACCGAGCGGTCCCCTGATGACATCAGAGTACTCTGGCCCTGGTGATGGCGGGTCCTGAGAAAGTGGCATCTGATGGTGCCCTCCACCCTGGGGCACAGACCCTAAACACCCTAACCCAGACCAACGGCCATCAAGTTGACTCCAGCTCAGACTGACCCTATTGAGGGTTTCTGAGACTGGACCTCTTTACAGGCACTGAGAGAGCCATCCTTCTCTACAAAAGAACTGGTGGGTTTGAACCACCAACCTTGTGGTTAGCAGCCATTTGTCTAACCCACAGCACCAGGCCGGGCCTTGGGAAAACATGCTTACTGGGGCGGTTGGAAAACCGCCTTCCACCTTGGTGGAGGAAGGGAGATCAAAGAGGAGGCCAGGGGAAGCTGGGGTTTGCACTCAGTTAAGAAACATTTGAGGAAAATGAAATGGCATGCCAAACAAGGACTTCGTTTCCCCCTCTCCACCAAGAGAGCCTTCCTTGTGTATTGTCCAGCAACGCTGGCAGTCTACACAAAGACTTCTTGCACCAAGGAGAGCAAGCGGCTCTGCATTGTGGATTGGGCTTCAATGGCAAGAAAGACGTTCCAAATCCTACCCCATTAGCCCAAGCCTGCCATCTTCACCGAGTCCTCTGGGACATTGAGTCAGTCTGCATCATGTCCTGATGGTACCTTCTGAGCACCAGACCAGCGCCAGGGTGTCTGGGCCAGTCTCCCTCTTACTGGAGTGCCCGTGACCTACGAGGTATCCAACCATTCGATTAAATAGCTTTCAAATATCCTGGCTATCCGGGGGCTCCCTGCTGTCGTGTGAGACAGGGCCTTCCGAATAGAAGACTTCTTCCCGCAGTCAGAGCCACTGTCTTCTTCCAACTGGATGTTTATCAGGAAGCATGGTGTGAACACGCTGCAGCCACAGGTGAGTTTTAAAGTCTGGAAATTAAAAACGCTCACTGCCATTGAGTTAATTCTGACTCACATTGACCCTACAGGACAGAGAAGAACCACCCCTATGGGTTTCTCAGGGTGTAAATCTTGACAAGAACAGACAGCCTCATCTTTCTCCCATGGAGCCGCTAGTAGATTCAAACTGCTGACCTTGTGGGTGGCAGCCCAGTGTGTAATTCATTACATCACCAGACAGCACGAATCTAACATACGTCTAGATAATCTCCATCTTCCCTCATCTCTAGTCCTCCTTAACTCTCTCCTTTCCGTCACCCAAACTGGGACACAAGGTTGGAGAAAGGGCAGGATGTTCAGGATGCATTTGACGGACAAGGGCAAAACCCAGCTCTTCACCACGGGGAATGCGCAGGGCCCACCCGATGTTCCACTGCTTGCTCCAATTTTGACACTAGAAGAGTTAAAGTCCACTGTGTGTGTGTGTGCGTTCTCCCATTTTCTCCCTGTTCACCTTCCCATTTTCCCTTTTTGGATATTCTTCCAAGTTTTAAGACACTGTCAGAATACTTAACTCAGGACCCCATGATACAATAGGAAACACACGAAAAGCTTCTATGTAGCCCACCCCACTGGCTTTCAGGGGAAGTGTATCAATCATTCATTCACTCCCTTCCCTCTCCTGGCTCAAGTAGGGAGCTCCAAAAAAAGGGGGCTGGAAGGAAAGAAGCAGGGAGAATCTGGGCAAAGGGAATAAAACTGTATCCCTCTTAACTATTTTCATCACTCCGGGTCTCGAAGGGTCACTCGGGAAACCCAAGGTCAGCGAGTGTGCTTCGGTAACGGATCTAACTGCAGGCGAACACACCCTCTTTTCTCTTCCTCCGGTGTGACCCCACTGGCTTGTGTAAGGGTAAAAGTTTCCAGGGGTCCCCAAGGCTCTGGACTCAGTTCTCTTTGGGGTACTCATCTCCAGAGCCAAAGTCCATGGTTTCCGGGTAGCTGGCAAACTCCTGAGGTAAAGGAAACTCCTCTGTTGACGAGTGAGTCTGATGTCCGAACACCTTCTCCTGCAGCTCGGCGATGTCGTTGCGGATGTCAGCCAGCATCAGCAGCAGGAAGTCGAAAGAACCAGGAGGTCCCTGCGCACATGGGAGGGAAGGAAGTCACGCTACAGGGGACCGGCCTCGTGCATCAGCCAGCCTCTCCACAGGTCCAGGACTTAGAGACTTAGGCTTGCTGCCCGCTCCGCCTTAGAGAACTTGGTGACCCCAATGGAGTCAATATAAAGGTGGCTTGATTCGCCCCGGGCACTCTCAAGGGTGCATTCCTATCGATTCTCCCATCTCAAGTGCACATTGAGGTGACAGAGAACTGATCCCTCCTAGCTCCACCCAGACCCCCAAACCCACTGCCACTGAGCTGACTCAACTCCCTCAGAGCCTAGAGGACAGAGAAGAATTGCCCCAGTGGATTTCCAAGGCTGTAAACCTTCACAGAAGAGGGTGCCCGATTTTTCTATCAAATCTGGTAGGATGAGAGAGTAAGAAAATCACCACCCAGGTTACTTACTAAACTCTACCTCTCCCCCTCAGACAAGCTAGAAAGAGAGTTAAGAAGACAGTAGAACAATGACTGAGAGCCTAGGGTTATGTTGGTGCGTGGGCCTCAGCCCTGCCTCTTACTAGCTCTGTGATGTGGGGCAAGTTACTTAATCTCTTTGGGCTTCAGTTTCCCCATCTGTAAAACAGACTACAGTAGTCTGAGGACGCCATAGGCGAGGCTTTAAAGAAGTTCAAGGGCTTTCAGAACTCACTGCCAACTCACAGTGACCCTGGAGGATGGACTAGAACTGCCTCTGCGCTTTGGAGCCTGTACCTTCTCACTGGCATAGAAAGCCTGAGGCTTCTCCTCTGGAGAGCCCGGTGGTTTCGAACTGCTGACCTTGTAGCCCCAAACATAACCTATTACGCTACCAGGGCTCCTCTGGAAAGGGCTTGGAGCATAATAAATGCTCAAAAACATGATACATCCTTTTTTGAACATAATTACAATGTCACTACAACCTCACTGAAGCTGACGGTGCAACGACACCAACACTTCATTGATAAGAAGTCAAACAAAGCTTCTTATTTGTCTACTGATCACACACCCATTTTATCATGATCGAAACCCACTGCTGTCAGGTTGAATCTGGCTCATGAGGCCCCTACGGGCAGAACAGAATCGCACCATGGGATTTCCAGAGCTCCAATCTTACTATAAGCAGACGGACGATCACATCTGTCTCTCAAAGAGCAGCTGGTGGGTTTGATCAGCTGACCTTTCAGTTAGCAGGGGAGGGCTCAACCACTGTGCTACTAGGGAGACCTTTGATCATGACTGAGGATTAAATCTTCATTTCTATGTAGTGCTGGGGAGGGGTGTTGGAGTGGGGGGGCATGGTTACAAAAACAAAGGTTGCCAAGGCTGCCGCAGTCTTGGATGCAGCAGCCTTACATCTGGGAAGCACCTGGTGTGTGTTAGCACCATCGCCCCTCATGACAACCACCTGCCCGTGTGGTTGGCCAGACTCCACCCCTGGTTTTGCCCAGGGGAGGAGGGGGACGACCAGAGACGCTGGGTGACCTGGCCATGGTCTCACAGCTTATATGTGGAAGAGTGGAGCTTCTCCCTCAACTGCCTCGCTCTCTTTCTTCACAGGCAGCCGAGTCACCTCCACTCTCTGCTTTCCGATACTGTGGATTTTCACGTCGGGGGCCCTGGGTCGTATGCACACCTCCAGCTAACTTCTCAGCGGTCCCGGACAGCCCTGTGCCTCCTTGTTGATTGCTACTGATTTTCACAGCAGTTTCTTTTGCTGTCGAGGGGTGGCGATAGGGCCGGCTAGGGCTATAAATTGTGGCTGTCCGGAAGCGTGCGGAGTCCGGGTTTTGATCTTTGTTTTCTTTCTTTTTTGTCATGGTCCTTTCAAAGGTTTTCCTGACCTACCTGGAAACAGACTCACGACACACTGGGGTTTTGATCCTTCAGAGAAGACATTCCAAGTAAAGATCAGCGACAGGAAAAGAGGAAAAAGAACAGAAAACAAATTGGAAGTTAAATCCAAACCAGCTGCCGGAGGCTTCCAGGCCTTTTCCTGCCTGTAGGGCTCTGCCGAGGCAGCTGGGCGAGCAGCTTTGGCCAATCCGACCCACTTACAGCTCAAGGGAATGGCATTCCTGAGGGCGCTCCGTGCTACTTACCGGAGACCCTCGGGGCCCAGGCTCGCCTCTCTCCCCCTAGACGGAGAAAGGCCAGGGTTAGCTTTCTGAACCACGTTCGTGCCATTACCACAGTGCCCGTGAGTCACCCACCACCACCACCTACCTCCGTGACTAAACAACAAACATTTTTAATTGGAAACAAATGCTAAGATTGAAGCAAGATGCACAGGGCCCCTCATTTGAACAGAACTGCTGGGGAAGGGGGTGAGGGTCAAGTGTCTCTCACCCCGATTTCCTGACAAGAGGGATACATGCATCTTCAGCAAAGTAACTCAGCCCCCCTCCATCAGTCACTCACACTGGCTTCCTTTTGAAGCCGCTCCCAGGCACCCATTTCCCCAGAAGGGAATGGGCCTCCAGGTGGAGATTTGAACTTGTCAAAGGAATAGAGACCAGACGGAAACCCACCCCAACCCTATGAAAGAACACTGGCTAAAGAGAGAAAACCTTGGGCCGTGCACACTGTTAAGAGTTCATCTGTTCACTGCGAGGTTGGAGATTCAAGACCACCCAGAGAGCTCTCCATCGGCCATCGTCAGCCCTGTGGGCTACAGCTCTGCTCTGGCATCCATGGGACCGCCAGGAGCCAGCATGGACTTGATTGCTGATGGTTTGTGAATGGTTTATCATTAGAACCCAGAAGCCTATTGGAAATACAGGGGTGATCTCTTTCCCAGGAGTGGTTATTATCATCATCGCTATCTGGTTGGGTTCGTCTTTGAAGACAATGCTTTCCAGAGTTTCTTTCCTGCCTCAGTTTCGCCACATGCATGTTGGGGATAGACAACGTGCTTCCCAGCCTGACTTGACCCCTGGCACAGTACGTTGACACAGAGAGTCCCGAGGCTTGTCAAGACCAAGCATCAGACCTACCTTGGAGCCGTGTCTTCCTGGTGCACCTGGGGGACCCTGCAAGAGAAAAGTGCCCGGTTTAACAGAGGGAGAAAGCGTGGGAGAAGACAATCACCAATCACCAATAGTAAGTGGGTCTCCAATAACATACTGACCACAGGACCCCTCCGGCCTTGCTTAATGTGGGACAGATCAGGAGCTGGCCCCATGGGTCCCATAGAGCCCCGAGGACCAGGCTGCCCCGGAGGGCCCGGCATTCCTGGGAAGCCTGGGTTTCCCTTGGGTCCAGGTGAGCCTGTAATCAAAGAACACCACATTAGTGCCACCACCTGAGACAAGGACAAGGTGCTCTGGCTGACACAGAGTCCAGGAGTCCTTTCAGTCACTCCCCTTTCCATTCTGTCCCAGGGATTTCCGACATCTCCACTAGGATGTTACACAGGCCTTTTAAACGCAACCTGATCAAACTGGCTTACCCTACTCCCCCTCTGTGCATGCACCACTAGTGGCTCTCGCATTAGAGCAGTTGCATGAGCACCTTCTTAAATCATTCCCCCATTTCCACAGGCTCCGTATCCAACCTGTGGTCACTCCCCCACATATTATGCCTCTTGAACATCTTCTGTCTGTGTACCCCCCCTCTCCATCACAGAACAACAGTGGTCATCACAGCCAGGGCAGCAGTTATCATGGAGACGGTCAGTTATGGAGACAGGTGTTGGCATCAGAGACCTGATCTTGAATCTTGCATATTCCACCGGACCTCTCTGAGTTTCTTTAAACTTCAGTGGTCAGGGCAGCAACAATCAAACACAAACTCCTGAGATTGAGCCAACTTCCATGCTAGTGTTCTGATAAAAGAAAGACGCCTGTCTCCAGGATTCATTAGTATGTACCTCGGTCTTCACTGTCCCTCTGCCAGTGGGGTCTGGTGTTCATTAAAGAAGTGTGAGGCACACACAAAGCAAAACAACAAACCATTATCACAATAACAATCAAACCAACCCCATTTTCAAGAGACAAGTCAATCAATAGACTCAGACTCAGAGATGATGCAGGTGTTGGATCAGGTGGGGATTTAACAAGACCAATGACCGATATTTTAATGAGCATCAAGTATAGGGGAGGAACAGGCAGCTTATGTGAACAGGTGGGGGAATTTCTGCTGAGAGATGGAAACTAGAGGGGATCTAGTGGTTACAAGTGGACTGCTAACCCCAAGGTAAGCAGCTTGAAGCCACTAGCCAGTCCATGGGAGAGAGACAAGGCTTTCTACTCCCTTAAAGAATTAGTCTTGAAAACCCGCAGGGACAGTTCAAGCATGCCCTAGAGCAGGTGTCCTCAAACTATGGCCCACGGGCCACATGTGGCCCGCCGAGGACATTTATCAGGCCCGCCGGGTGTTTTTGCCCTGCTTGTATTTTTACTTCAAACAGTGTGCATAGGAATTTGTTCATAGATTTTTTTAAACTATAGTCCGGCCCTCCAACGGGTCTGAGGGACAGTGAACTGGCCCCCTGTTTAAAAAGTTTGAGGACCCCTGCCCTAGAGGGTCCCAGTGAGTTAGTTGGACTGGATTAGATGGCAGCGAGTTTGAGTTTTTTGAGAAGTAAAAAAATGGCACGATTGCAAAAACAGGATTATCAGGAGACTGGTGACTGTTGGGAAAGAATCAGTAAGCTTAGAGATAAGTCAAAATTATCCAAAATGAAACACAGAAGAGGAAAACAAACAAACAAACCAAAGAACAAAGGCAGAACATCCAAGAGCTGTCGACAGCATCTAAGAGTCCAACATATGTATAACTGGAATTCGAGAGGGAGAAGAAACCCCTACAGCGGCTCCCTCTGCACACAGAACGAAGGCAAACTCCTCGGCAGGGGATGGGAGATCATCCAGCACCAGGCCCTTGCTTTCCTCTCCAGGTGCGCTTTTCACCACTGCTTCCTTTCCCATCACCTTTCAGCACCATCCTGCCCACAGAGCTGTGCTAGAGCACAGCTCCCCGCCCGGGCCACTTCTTCTCCGTTTTATCCTTCGCCTCCATGCCTTTGTGGTCACCACAGATCACATTTCTCTGAGAGAGTCTCTCCTGACATCTCCCATCCCCTGTGTAAGAGAATTAACTGCTTACTTCATTAAGCACAATCATACCCCGTACACATACACAGCTATATGCATAGGCTGTCATCCTCTGAACATTCCTAATACTTGAAAAAGGTACGATTTTGTATAAAAATTTGGATTTCTGCTTTCTTTTAGAAAACATAAAGAACCCAGTCTGGGGCTCTAGCCCCTCATGGCCAGAACTGATCGGAGCTTTATGCAGGGAGCTGCCCCTTCAGCTGGGGATGTGCGCTTCCTGGGTTAGCACATTGAGATAGTCACCATTTATTGTGCCAACCTGGTTGATAAACACATGTGGGGTTAAGTGAAGGGCGCAGAGATAAATGGCTCGGTGAGCCTCGTCTTTAGAGTTCTCGGGTTTCTTGCTTTGTGATGGTCGGACCAGGATGCAGCTGCCTTAGCCAGTTCCCTGTGTCAGCTGGCAAGGCTCACTTCCTACAAGACATTTCCAAGGAGAAGCTGCATGTACCTACCCTGATGCAGCCCTGGATGCTGGAACAGCCGTGTGGAGATCCCTGCCAGCGCCGAGATGCTGACACGCTCACTGATTCGGCTTTCCTCCTGCAGTCGGCGTCATAGTGTGTGTTTTGTGAGATGGAGGAGGACTTTGTGGATTGGTGTCAGACAGATGGGCTAATGTTGGACTTGGGCAGCACTGGGTTTGGATATTTTCTTGATGTGCACTTACCCTCTCTATAAAACTCTCTCATACATATGACTTTCTGTAGATTTGTTTCTCTAAGGTGTCCAGACTGACACACCCATTGTGTTCCCTTCACCCATCTAGGCTACCTACTCAGCTTCTGTAGCCATCTGAGTTTCAACTCTGTTTTAGACTTCTAGGTCCTCAAAGGCATGGCTGTTCCCTTTCCCCACACATTCTCACAGAGTCCCTGGCACTTAGTAGGTCACTTAACAAATGCTTCTTTCTAAATGGTTGCAGGGAAGAGGCGAGGCTGATGGCTGTGTACCTGGTCAATTTTATTCTGTCACACCTCATCCCTATTATTGACACAGCACAGTGAGAAGATGGAAGAGCTTTCACACAACAGAAAACAATGCAATATAGCAAAGAATAACTAGGCCAACACTTAAGGCAAGCAGTGTTTTACCCAGCCACATTTCACCCCACTGCTCTCAATGTGGTTTCCAGGGAAGCCCTGCCAATGTTTATCTGGACAATGGGCCACCTTTCTCCTCTACCCAATCCACCCAGTAGCTCAGGGACAGGGTAGAGGAAGCACCACACCTGCATTTGCACCATCTGAGAACCCCAAGGATCGCATGTGGGGTTGCATGCACACAGTGGTGTTGACATCACGAAGGTAAAGGAGCAGGGCCCACCCCTCAATAGTGAAGCCCAAGGCTCCAGCCTGGCGGTGTTTCCTGAATTGGTGCTCTAGTCCGTGATTCATCCCAGGCTTGGGTGCTGGACTTTCTGTAAAGAAGAAGAGAACCTGATTTTCTCTCTTGGGGCTCTGATACATCACAGTTGTAGGTATCCCTGCCTGGGACACTAGGTGGAAACAGTGAGAAGAGGGTGGGAGAGGAAAGAAAAGATGCTCCCTGGAGAATGTCTCCTCCCCTCAACCACTCTCTGCCCATATCTTCAGTAGTAAAAACTCAGCAGGCTCCAGCAAGCACCCTGGACAGCTCAAACCATGCTAGAAGGCAGCAGAAGGAAGCCAGGGCATTGGCTGTTCATGAGGAAGAAAGGCAGCCAAGTGGCTCTCTGGCTCTTATAGCATTTCCTGTTCTCTTGATGTGTACACTGCCCCGCAGGTGGTCTTTCTCCAGGGAGTGAAGCAAGAACCTTCTCTTAAAGAAGGATGGAGAATACTGCTGAGAATCAGGGTGCAGGGAAACCTCCTGCCCATGTAGGAGCAACAAGAAGCTACCCACAGGAGGCATCTGCTGGACAAACTCCAACACAGCCCAGAGAAACTCAGGCTGGGAGAATAGACCAGAGGATAGACCCATGTCCTTGACCAATTCTCTGGATAAGCCTTAGGCCATTGATGCCCGAAGAATACGAGGAGCCTAAGACCGAAGGGGAGAAGAAGGGAAAACCAACCAAAGCACATACATAGTTTTGGGAGAAACTCCGAACCTTTGTTTCTGTTGACCAGCCAATGAGAACACTTGCTCATGATCCCATGGCCAAAGCCTGCCAGACTTCCAGGCCCAGTGTAAATGTCAAGTTCATGGTCTCTGCAGGCTCCCACGACCTCTCCTTTCCTTATGCTCCCACATCAGAAGAAGTTTGTGCATGGATCCGGACACACATGGATGCTTTTTCATGCCAGGAGCTTTTGCTCTCTCTGACTTGTCTTCCCAACTAGACTGCCGAGAGGTCACGCACAGCACCCAGTACACTGCTCAGCAGGGAGAAGACACTCAACAATTCACAATCACTCCTTTACACCTTTCCTACGCGGTGGGGAAAAAGCTCTTGATGTAGCCATCTGTGGAGGGACTCACGCCAATAGCTGGTAGACTTTGAAACTGAAGTTCTCACTGTATATCGTCTGCTGAGTTTCAGTAGAGTTGAGGTTTTCTTTGCATCAATAAAGCTGGATCGCTAAGACAGGAAGCTGAATGAGAGACACCTGTCAACTGGAGCACACTGGCACAATTTCATGGATATAAAATTCTAGAACAGGTAAGATTCTAGCAGGCCAGTCAGTGGTGGCCCAGGGATGAGGAGGATAAGAGAGTGGGCACCAGGGAACTTTCTGGGGTGCTGGGGAAGTTCTTTATCTTGGTTGAGGGGATAGCTCCCATGGGTGTATCCATTTGACAGAACTTGTCCAAGTGTAAGTGCAAGAGGCATATTTTATTTCTGAGATTGCATTTCAAGAAAGTTGGAATGTACTTGTGATATGCAGAATCATCTCTGTACCAGTGAGTGACCCAAATTAGAAATAGGGTTTTCTTTCTATGTCCATGAGGTCAGATCCACACCAAGTGTGTCTTCAACCTCACTTCTGAGATAGAAAAGAGCAGATCCAGCACAGACACCAATGCAGACAGGGGAAGGAAGCTGCGGCACACAAAGATGGCCACAGAACAGAAATTGAAAAGCACAAGGACCTTCCCCCAGAGCCAAGAGAGTAAGAAAGCCTTCCCCCAGAGCTGGCATCCTGGATTTGAACTTCGACCCCCCTACACCGTGAGAGAAGACATTTCTACCAATCAAAGGCGCCACGTGTAGTATTTCTGTTATAGCATGTCGTAGTTATATAATCGTTTGTCAATTTGCGGAGTAACGAGTGAAGGGGGGGCGTGTCTAGCCTGTCAATCAAGATATAATCAATGAGGCCTCTGTGTGGGCATGGTCTTCTCCTGAGAATTTTGGGAACTCCTGTATTTCCTCTTCGGCGGCTGGAGACACCTTTTCTCTCTGCTGACTTCCTGTGAGACATCCCTGAGGAGAAGCCACATGAACCTACCCCTGGGAACTGCAGCCCTGGGAACTGGAGGAGCCACATGGAGACCCCTGCCAGCGCTGAGATGCTTACAATGCCACTGGATTCACGAGATTTCCCACCCACTGGCCTGTGATCATCTGCACTTGGCATCATTGCATGTGTTTCGTGAGTCTGAAGAAAACTTTATAGATCGGTATCGTACATATGGGCTAATACTGGACTTATGGGCTTGGACTGGACTGGGTTGAGGTGCTTTCTTAATGTACAATTACCCTTTATATAAAACTCTCTCTTATACACATATGAGTTTCTATGAATTTCTCTAGTCAACCTGGACTAACACATACCAGCACTAAGGAACTAAGACACGACTTAATGAATATTCATAAAGTATACATAGATATAAAGAGAAATATAGACACGAGTGCATGTTAATCATCTGAGAAAGAGGAAATAGGGTAGGGAAACTTAGACACAGGCTAGCTTGGGATTGTTCGAGCTGGCTGAAGTGCCCATAGGGGTCATTATCTCTACTTCTTATCAATCAACTTGTCATCTGGCATTTCACATCAATAATAAAAATATATAATCATATATTATAATAATATAATACAAATAATAATTAAAATACAATAAAACAATAATAAACTGACTATTTTGGCCATTAAGGACATATGCCTGGTGTAATGCATGTGGAAGCAAGAAGTGAGAGCAATGCTGGCTATGCGCTGTCGGGGGTGAAGGGTTAAGGGGTCGGCTTGGCTGGGCCACGGTTCTCAGTGACTTGGCAGTTATGCACTGATGTAGTCCTCCTCCTCCTTTTTTTTTTTTTTTTGTAAAAGTGTAAATTGTTCTATCGGGGGCTCTTACAGATATTCTAACCACCCATAAATCAATTATATCAAGCAAACTCGTATATATGTTGCCATCGTCATCTTCAAAACATTACCTTTCTACTTGAGCTCCTCTTTGTTCTACCTCCCCCACCTTCCCACTCTGGTGAACCCTTGATAAATTATATATTATTATTTTTTCCTATCTTACACCGTCCACTGTATCCCTTCACCCATGTTTCTGTTGTTCGTCCCCCTCGGGGGTGGGGGTGCAGTATGCATGCACATTGCGATAGGTTCCCCCTTCCTCTTCCTCCGCCCACTCCTTCCTCCTACCGTCATGGTATCGCTATTCCAGTGACTGTTTCTGAGGGGTTTATCTCTCCAGGCTTTTCTGTGTGTTGAAAGTTCTTAGCTGTATCAATGTACATACTCCAGTGTAGCAGAGTTTGTAAGGTAGAACTGGGGTCATGATCGTGGGGAGCGGGGGTGGGGTGGAAGCATTAACAAACTAGAAGAATGTGTGTTTCATCGATACTAAACTGAACCCTGGCGGGATCATCCCTTCCACATGACCTTTCTGCATAACAGCCTGGCCTGAGGAATCCAACCATGGCCACATGCGTAGAGTGCTGTGTACCATTTCATTTTCTGAGTCTGTTTACGTCTTCCCAGAATAAAGATTTTGTTTCTTAAAAAGCTTTTCATTTTGTTTCTCTGTATTGTTGGGAGTCTTACCCAAGCTCAGCACAATGACGTTTTTCTATTGGCGATCACTGGTTAAGAGCATTTGATAGGCTGGAGGGCTCCTTATACACGTACTCACCCCAGGGTGCCGGGCCCTGGAGCTGCTGCTTCCTTTCTCATGGATGGAGGTGACAGGACACCATCCACCCCCAACTGGGATGAGATCTTGGCACTGCCACCTTCTGTGCCCCTGCCCTCACTCACCTGGGGGGCCCTGGTCCCCTGGCAGGCCAGGCGGTCCGGGAAGGTAGGCATTTGAGGCCAGCGCCTTGTCACCAGTGATGTACTTGCCCAGCTCGACAGCATGGTTGGGGAGCAGAGCGATCTGCGGAGAGAAGAGGACACGCTGGTTTCCCTCGAGAGAGAACGACTCCACTGTAGGGCACACGCGTGGCTTGCAGAGGCGGGGAATCCTCTTGACGAGGAGTCCCCACCATGACAGCCACACAGGGCTCCCGGGGCTCGAAGCTCTTCCTTCCCAACCCAAGGCCTTCTAGGAGCATGACCGTAAGACCCTCAAGGAGGTGAGTCGACACAGTGGTTGCAACAATGGGCTCCAACATGACAACACTTGTGAGGATGGTGTAGGACTGGGCAAAGATGGAAGAAAGGCCTGCTGGTCTACCGCCACCACCACCCACCACCAACAACTACCACCACCACCACCACCTCCACCCACCACCACCACCACCTACCCACCCCACCCACCAACCAACAACTACCACCACCACCACCACCTCCATCCACCACCATCACCCACCCCACCACCACCACCACCTCCACCCACCACCTAACACCTCCACCCACCACCACCCACCACTACCAACAACCACTAACCACCCCTACCCACTACCACTAGCGCCACCAACTACCACCCAGGCCTTGATGGGCTTCCTGAAACAAGCTGCACCGTGGCCTCATTCTCCTGGAATCAGCCCTGCCGGGTCTCCTCTGGACAGCGAGCAATCGGGGCTGGGATAGGTGCACGGACGACCACTCCCATACCCCTGGGGTTCTCAGAGGCTCCACTCCGGGTCTGGATCTGAGCTGAAGAGAGCAGAGTGCCTCCTCTCTGTGCATGATCAGAGGTAGCCATTTGCCAGTGTGGGTGTATTAGTCTAGGTACTTTGGAGAAACAAATGCACGGCAACTCATAGATAAGAGAGTTTTATGCAAAGAAAATGTGCATCACGAAAACATCCCAACCCAATGCTGCCCAAGCCCACA